CCGAGTGTGGATTTGCAAGATGGGTTGTCCATGCATAGCAGGAAACGCTTACCGTGTTGACGCACCCTAGCTGTCTCGTTCGTGGGATTCCCTGATATTTTGAATTTTTATTCTTGGTTTGTCTTTTTAATCGATGAATGAGATTTTAACATCAGTAAAGTACGTACTGTTGCTCAATTCATTATGCCAACGCCAGCTTTATAGGCAATATTGATAAACACATTGTATATATTATTTGTACTTATAATTAAAGTGTTACTGTAAACATAAACAAATGTCGAACTTGAAAACTGGAATCTGGAATTACAGCCTTTCAAGAATGAATCGAGAAATGTCCAATTGAGTAGGAAAAACGGTAACTAGGCAATCTATAGTTGCTTATTTGCACGTTATTTGGAATCAGTGGCAATCATACCACATCTCCTTATTTGTACTGTATAGCTTTGAAATAATGGATGCCAAGTGTCCAGCTGTAACTGTTAAATGTCAAGTTGGAAGTTAGAAATGTTAAGTTGGAAGCTAGGTTTGAATTGAGAAATGGGAACTTTAGGCTAAGACATATGTGAAGTTCAAACTGAGCTATTCTAACAAAAATGTGACAACTGATCTTTCTATGTTTACTTTATATTTATAACACAGGGCTGCGATATAAAAATATATTTTGAAATCCATTTTCTATTTCAAAACTTTCATTGATCATTGTCGTATAAGAAACAAATATATAAATATTAATAAAGTAATGCAAATATTCTTTTTAAAAAATAGTTACCTAAGTCTAAAAAAAATGTGCTTTTGTTTTGAACTTTTTTACTTTCGATTTAAAAGAAATTCCACCAAGCCGACCATGTCATAAAATTAATTTTAAACGGTAAGTAGCAGCCATTTTATCAGTCGGTTTTAAATATATAATTTTCATTTTATTGTACGTGAACACGATACCTTTATATTTTGTATATCTGAAACTTATACTATTACACATTAATACAGTACACACGTACACAATTTAAGTCACTATAATCGTAGTTGAAGTGGAACACAATGCAATGTCGGCTTTTAACGAACAGGAAATAAAAAGAATGATAATATCTTCATCCTGATTGAAGAACGGTTACCGTATAGTGATATTCATGAAAGCATTTAACATTGTAGGACTTATTACTGTGATTGACTTATGTCTATATCTATATACAAGTATTTGTATGGTCCAATATATATATGTTTAAAAGAAACAACCACGTGTAATTAAAAGTTATTTTGAAACTAAAATTAAAAGACCATTTTTAAAAGTACGGATTTTGTAGATTGGTTTATTGTTATTACAATAATTTATTTCTGTTGATTCTTTGTTTTATAAAACAATAATTGAATTTGTGTACTCTCCTTTAAGTTGTTTTTTTTTTACTGTGTGATACTTAAGATAAGAATGACCTATTTAATTCTTACTTGATGTGAAGCAGTAGGTCAAATGATCAGACTCGCCTTGCCTAATTTGATTGACTAGGGAGATAGATGAAATCGGTCAGCACAGATAACACTGGATGTCAAAAAACACTTATGTCCATTCATTTATAAATTTGTATCGATTAACGTTTGTTGTAACATTGACAAAACACTTATTGCAAAATAGTTATATCTGAACATTCACATGCAATGTAGATTATAAATGTGTACAAAATATAAACTGATATAAATAAAATACAAAAGATCTTCAAAAAAGTTCACTATAACGTATTTATAGCAGTTTGTTCTTCAAAATTTATGAATTACATATTAACTTTCTTAAAATTTATACTGAAATCTGTTTAGAAGTGAAAGGAAAATGTATAATAAGCCAGGTCATTTTCTGGCTCCTTGAATTCGAAAATATTTTCAAAAAAAAGTATAAATATACTTGATAATATTCTTAAAAAAACACCAGTATTTATGCTTTTGAATTTTGTCTGTGTCCAACATGTTTGCATCACGGCTTCAAGCTTCTTATTATTTTGTGCATGACTGCAAAAACTTTCAATCGCCAATGGCAGTCAGCAGGGTTTAAGAACATCCGTTGTTCGACCTGTTAGTCAAATGCGTTTTGTTAAAATATACTTTTTCACTTTTTTGGTCTTTTGGAAAATGTTGTTTGTGCTGTATTTAGACCCCTCTACCAAGAAATTTGTTTTACATGCACACGTATAAAAATTGCGGTTTTTATCCAACGCAATCATAGGTTTGATCGTTGTTTTCAATTTAGATATTATATATTTCTTTATTAGGATGATTTGACGAATCCAGATAAATCGCAAAAATCGGTGTCCGGACAGGTGACATGGTGAAATAAAGATAGAATACTATAACAGTGCATTGGAGATTCAAAGAGATATGCAAATGTGTGTGCCTTGTGCAGGACGCTGACAAATCGAACAGTTATACCTATACAACTGATATATATATATATATATATGGTAAGTCTGATTGATTGTTGTTTGTTTAATGTTCAGTGGCAAGTATTTCATGTATATTCAGGACGAGAACAAATTAACAATAAATGCAATAGGTAGGTCCTGTAACAGGGGTCGACCGAGATGAAGGGCGGGGAATGTGTACTGCCACTGGAAAATGAGGGTTTATTAGACAGTGACAGAATTTAGTCTTGCAACACCCTTCAAACAGTTGTTGCAATGATTTATAAAGTGCAGAGAGTACAACTCGAGGCATCGGATTTAACGTCTCAATTTTAACCGGACGTTGCTGCGTATTTATACATCCCTCACAACCAAACGACTGCCCCTTTTTGGCAAGGGATTTATAACCGGTCAGAAGGAGACCAAGAATGACCATATTTCTATTCCATAGTCACCCTTGAGGTAAATATGGTAAGAAGAACACACCATGCTCAAATAAAAGATTGCAGATTTAAAAGACAACTAACTGTGTACGCCGTATTGCAGATACTGACAGCTGAAAAAATAGCACTCTCAGTAATTGTTGTGATACAAAAAATACACAATGCAAAAAAGACTATTTTACATTGACGCTAATTGCAGTTTTAAAGATATCAAAGGCGCAATTAATTAAAAATCATAGGTATGAAAAAGCGTCAAAATTTAACTATCAAAAGCGCAAATTTATCTGTACGATTAAGAGCTATTATATGTATATATGTATCTTGATATTACTATGCAGCAGGTAAGTAATACAACATTGTAAACGTGTGTCTGTTCACTAAAGTTGTGAAAGTCACAATCCTTTCTTATTTCAATCAATTGAATAATAAGAAGAAGTCACATCGTTCTGTTTTGGGTGATTGGTTGATTAATAGAAATTGTAACGCGAAGTATCGAATATTTCATGCATTTTATGGCCGAGAACAATTTAACATGACATTCAATACGCAAAATAATAATGATCTGTAATATAGGTCGATTGTGAAGAAGATCGGTAAAATGAAATTATTATACTGTAACAGTTATACTAAGTGCTCATTTTCTGTGAATTTACTGTTTATGAAATGTTGAATTATTTAAAACAAGTTTTTTCAACCCCAATGAAAAGATTGCCTACGCCATATTTGGCACAACTTTTTAGAATTTGTGGTTTTAATGCTCTTTAACTTCGTATTTGTTTTGGCCTTCCAACTGTTTTGAATCGAGCGCCACTGATGATATAAATAAGAAGATGTGGTATGAGTGCCAATGAGACAACTCTCTATCCAATTCACAATGTATAAAAAGTTAACAATTATAGGTCAAAGTACGGCCTTCAACACGGAGCCTTGGCTCACACCGAACAGCAAGCTATAAAGGGCCCCAAAATGACTAGTGTAAAACAATTCAAACAGGAAAGCCAACGGTCTAATCTATATAAGAAACGAGAAACGCCTATGAACCACACCAACAAACGCCAACCACTGAACAACAGGTTCCTGACTTATCCTGAGTCTGATTTAGACGGAACGCGTGTCTGGCGTACCAAATTACAAACCTGGTATCTTTAATGAGTTTTATACTAAAAAGAGGTGGTTTCGATAGTGGCAACTTTTTTGGCATTGCAACATGTCACCTACGGACCTAAGAAAGATTAGTTGCAAGGGTTTATAAACGACATGAGAGTGTGACAGCCGCTCTTCACGAGGCTTCGAATTTAACACCCAAATTCTGACCAGACGAGGCTGCGTTTTTCACATCTGTTAGCCAAACAGGCACCTTTCTCTAGCATGGGTTTTAATGCCAGACAGTACATTGGGACACTATTGCAGTACCCTATGGTAGACTGATTGGAATATTTAGCATTCGAAGTAATACACTCACTATCAAAATATTTTAATACCAATATGCTGTATCAATTGATGCGGTGCTGAAATAAACAACAAGAATTGACAAATATAATTGCAAAAGAAAATCCAAAATATATATTTTTTTTAATTTAAGATGGATGAATTAAATTGTGAGAAGATAGGTTTTATAACATGTATAATATACTTTTAGAAAATTAAAAGAACAAAAGTGTCACCGAACTTGTTTATCTCCTACAAGGAAAAAGAAAATTGCATTAACATTCCTTTATATAAATGCTATAGGAATTAACTCCCCTATGGCTAAGTTGAAAAATTAAATCGAACAAAAATAAATATTTGGTGTTTATCAAAACAGTCTAAATAATGCAATAAATCACTTATTTTTTTTATTTTAATGAGCAATCTTACACCTAAATTGCCATTCTGTCTCAAAATGTGCAGATTTAAGCAAAGAACTAGACCGATTTTGTACTGCTATTATTCATTTTGTTTCTGTTTTAGATTATCTATGGAGGAAAGACAATGGTACATTCAGCTGTTGGCATTTTCCTACGGTCCTGCTATTGACATTCTTCATCTGTTTTTTGAAAACAAAATTTTGCAAAACACAAGTTTCATACAATTTTTGAACGATACGAGGAATAAACATATACTTTTTCATGAGTTCATACCAACAGTTCAATGTTGTGAGTGTACAAAACTGTCATTGGCTGCACCATTTAAGCGAAAAAAACAGTTTGATGTTCTGTATGTCAGTACAGCTTCTATTAATTCAGGTCATGTCAAGAGGTGTGGTCGGGATATTATACAACATTGCTTATGCAGATATACTGCTAATACATCCGCTTTGGTTGAAGATATAGACATAACATTACTATATGCTATCATTTACCATTGCTGTCCACCACCCTCACAACAGTTATCATGGCTGAAAGATCTAAAGAAAGTGCGCAATTTATTAGTCCATCTTGGCAATGGTCAAATAGAAGAAACAAACTACAAGATACAATGGAAAATTTTGGAGATAGCATGTTTAGGCTTAGCTGGTGTTATAGGAAACTCATTTGTGCGGGTGTTTCAACGAGAAATAGAAAGACTCACTGATTGTTCTATTGATGCATTAAAGGACATAATCAAGAAATCAAAAGAAAATCTTTCAGAGGTACACAATAAAGTTATTAAGTTATTTTGAATATAAGTCATAGGAGCGGGTAGAATTTCAGGCATTTATTTTTTCATCACAATTATGTCTAGAACAAAAGTTGAAATATATTAAGAACTTAGTAAAATTGATTTATATGTACTGATATAATTAATCATGACAATTTGAATTTATACCAAGGTAAATTAGTGTCGAGGAAAAGAGAGGTTATATCATATATATCTATACTATTAAATGAGAAGACCTCATTCTTTGTGTCGCTTCTCTTCCTTCCACAATAAATTAATCATCATGCCTCTGTGTCCTATAGGTACCATGCAATAGTCGCATTTGTCATCCTCGCTTATGATTATTCAGTTTGGGTTATTTTGTGAGGAAAACGAAAATAAAGGCGTCCGGATATTATTTCCGTCTTTGGACGGACTTTGATGGAGTCATAGACAAGACTATCCACGGCGGTCACTGCATGATATATTATATAGAGAGTCTCTATATAATATATCAGTGACCGCCGTGGATAGTAAACTTGGAATTAATAATAAATAGCAAATACACTTTATTTATAATATATGTATGTTCATAATATACAGAAAAAACGCCAAAATAATTAAAATTAAAAGAAAACAAAAAATAGCGGACTTTGGAAAAAAGGGGGAGGGCTAAAAAAAAATTGTCCTGTCCCCAATTACCTATGACTTTTGAAAATTTTCCTGAAATTCTCCAGTCATAAAATCTTTTACAAAAATACATCCTACTACAGTTTACATACTTTCAACAACGCTCTAAATACCCGTGATTTCGCGGGTGTGTTCTAGTTATTCTAAAGAGAAGTTGTGTCATATGAATTGTACCCAGAGGAAGTTGTGTTAAAGAATAATGCGTCTTTTGTAGACAAAACACGCGTCTGAGATACAAAATATTAATCCATGTATCGATTATGAGTTTACATATATTGTACTTAAACAAGATTGTACCCTATATGATAAACGTAAGTAGGGTTGTAACACATGTATTAAACTAAACAAAAGTGTTGTCGGAAATGATGTACACAAGGTAAAGGATACTTAATTTGGCGATATTTCGGATTTTGATGAAATTTTGTATGCATTTTAAACTCGCTGAACTGGCAGTCTGCTTTTGAATATCGAGAAATTATGTACGTAGCCTATTCGTGGCGGTCAGTTTTTATATGTGGAGGGCCGGAGTGCCGGGGACAAAAAAAATGCAAAATGTCTTTAAAAATATAGAATAGAAAGAATGTAATTGATTGTCGGCGAAAATTGTGTGTATTTTACTTTAAATTGCGTTTTCATGAAAATCCGTCCACAGAATTTTGATTTTTGATATGTAGCGAAAAATAGGGTCAAAAGACAAATAATCGCTAAGTCGTGACGGCGTCACACTGCAAACTCGTAGTATTCGTGTTACTCATAGACATTTCCGGAAACTACATAGGACTACACTTAGACTTACGATTACAGTAGACGAAAAACAAGGGTCATCTCAAAATAAAAAAAAACCAAAAAATAAAAGAGATCATACATATGAGTAAAATAAAAAGATTTTTTTTTAAATTATATAAATAAGTCTTTTCGACGACACACAAAGGCAGCGCATATGGTCACAACAGATACTAATCGCTGTCTTGGATGTCGCCACAAAGTCTATACCTTTGTATTGTTTTAATTCTCCGATGGCGTGTTAATTCAACCTTTACTCTATAGCCTGTAATACATTTATTTAATTTACTACACTTTCTCTGCATATTCTTGCGTTTAAGAACAATCATTTGGCTTGTACAAGGTGTCAATACTGGATGTCTTTTCGGATATATTTTGTTGCCCAGCAAATATAGCTCGATCAGCCGGGAAAGATTGTTCTTGTCCAATATTTTTCATTAACATATATAATTACTAAGCATTGTTTTCATCTCATGTCCGAGAAATCAACACTTAACAAAACATATCCTGCCTTCGTTCGTTACACAATATAGTGTTCAAACCCACCGGAGGGCAGTTCTTTTAAAATAATATGGGGTGTCTGTTCGTCTGTGCGTTACTCCGAGTTTTGAATGCGCTCGCGTGGGATTCTTATCGTCAAATAACATCCATAATTTAATAATTTTTAGTATGTCTTTTCATGTTCGATACTTTTATAGTTGTTTGACTTTTTAAGCAGGACCTACAATTTTGATACGGTAAAAGAAAAATGTACCGGTCTCGGATCAGGCGGCACTGTTCATGCTTCGAGCATACCAACCGCACTCGTGTTCATGGGAGAGAAATATCGACACCGTAAAAGAAAACACGATTTAAAGTAAAAATGCATATTTGTCGCCGCTTGTAAATTGATATATTTTTTTTTTACTTTAAGAGGAGATCACTGTCTTTTCTGTGCTACCTTTTAAGTCAGGTGATCATAATAGCACGTTTTCCGTAGTTTTACATGAACAAGAACAGCAATCACTTCTAATCTCTTATGTCACGAAAAAGATTTATCAGTTTGAATCATTTGGATGCTAGACAGAGGTAGATCATTAACAGTTCGTTGGTTGGATGGACATCTCCTTCCATGCAAGAAATATCCAACTTGTCATTTCTATCTTGTGTCCTGTTTTGAAATCACGACTATGAAAGTTTTGGTCGTTGATTGATAGTTGTCCAATAAGCAATCTGCCACATCTCCTTTTTTATAAGGAATCCAGGAGAAATAACATTAAAATTAGGATCTATTGAAAGGAACATATGTCTTCGAATAATTCGGTCAAAAAGATTTCCTTACAATACACAGAATTGTATTAGGGATGTAGAGCTTGTGAAGTGTAGGTCAAAGACGTCATTTCGATGATATTCTATAAAGTTTATGCGTCCATGAAACTAAGATGAAACATCAATAAAATACTGTTGCCTATACATTCACCGGACCTAAAAAATAAAATAAAACATATCCTTAAAGCAATGTATTTCTTTTTTCTTTCAAGTTGCATCACGTTCTAAATGGAGTAAAACCATTGCAGACTGTTATTAACGAGTCAACGGGAGTTATCAAAGCGATATCAGTTCAGCAGAAGGAACATACCGACACATTGATAGCACAAGGAGAAGATATGAAAGACATCAAGTCAAAATTAGGTACTATGATTGAATTGAATATTTATTCTTTGACGGAATATTGTGTACATACCTTAACGGTTTAGTAAAGTTTATGAAAATTAACCATTGATTATTATTTCTTAAAGTACAGTATTTGACTACGATAAGTAACCAGTAACATAAAACACTCCTGCTAATGATGATTTCAAGCAATTCCGCAATTTTGTCTCAAGTCTACCCTTTTCGACTACCAATCTCTCATTGTCAAATTGCTATCCGATCTTTTCAAAATTGTTTTTTTTCCTTTTCTAATGCAAGTTGTTTTGTTTACTAAAGTAACAAATTAATGTCATTAGCATTAATACATATATTCTCTCCAAAACGTTTATTTATTTTCGACTTTTTCCTCTTGACCTCTGACTGTTTGTTAGAAATCAATTCCTTTTTAAAGTATGGGTTATGTTTGTTTACCATTGTCCACTACTTAAAACATTTCAAAATATAAACTTATAGAATTGACATAAACCAACAATAAAGCCATTGGATAATGTTATAATTTATCTTTTAGAATGTAGTCTTGTATCTTGTTCAAGTTACAAGTACATAAACTTGATATATTGTGTAATTTTATTTCAGATTTCCTTTTATATGCTCAATTTGGAGAATTAAAAACAGTTTCTGAAGTAAAGCGACAAGAAGGGGACTCCAAAGAGACAACAAGTTTAACAGGTATAGATACATCAAGCTATATGTTTTATTGTAAAAAAGTAAAATGACAGAAATACCGAACTCCAAGGAAAATTCAATCGGAAAGTCCCTTATCAAATGGCAAAATCAAAAGCTCAAACATATCAAACGAATGGAAAACAACTGTCATATTCCTGACTTGGTACAGGTATTTCCTTATGTAGAAAATGGTGGATTAAACCTGGTTTCGTAGCTAGCTAAACCTCTCACTTGTATGACAGTCGAATAAAATTCCATTATATTGACAACAATGTGTGAACAAAACAAACAGACATAATAGGTTAAGAAGTCAAAAATAGGGGTACAACAGTCAACATTGTGTTATAATCTTAAATCACTATAAAAACAAACAAATATGTCAACAAAGAAAAACAAAATGGCATATAGACATTGCACAGAAGCAAAAATGAAAGACACATGTAATGCTTATAACCAAAAAACGTACTCATAATCTACACATCCGTTTACGTATACCTTTTAACCTATCAGATATAATTAGATGTCTAACGACCTTTTTAGGACTTGCAGCGGCTGTGGGAAATCCGAGTGCTGTCCATACCAAAACATGGAAATTGCACACACTTTAAAATTTAAGGTGGACAGTTTCTGGCTCGACTTGTAATTTGTATTCACGAACTAACATCCTGTAGCACTAACGAAATTATTCCCATAAACCCCCGTGTTTTACTAGTCATTTCCCTTCTAATAAGTTTTTACGTGACTGCGTTAATTCATTCCGTACGCATAGAATGTTAATCTATGCATATGATGCTGGTGCCTGCATATATTAACGGGTTTATCTCCTTCTACCAATCCATTGTATGCAAAAGTAGCGCATTGATCATTTGCTTTCCCCAAAATTGGCTCCAATGATTACCACTGTTGCTAAAATGGAAGGTTGATGGAAACAAATCTTTCGTTTTGTCCTACATGGGAGCAAAAGAATAAAAGTTACATCTTTGTGCAGTTAAAATAATAAGGCATTGCATGATGTGTGATTTATCTACTTAAAATTGATCTTTCACAATTTCGAGACAGAAATTTACTACCCCAAGTCTTGGTCGGAAATATCCTTGTTTTGTATATAAAGACTGCGTTCTGACGTCCCACGGTCCCAGCAATCTCGTACTACTTATTAAAATTCTAGACTTTCAGTTTGAAAAAGTTGTAGATAACGCGTTTAAGTATATTGTTTTCATAAAATTGATTTAAAAAGCAGATCTTAAAAGTGGAAAAATATTCTTTAAAAATTTTGGTTATTTCGTCAATGAATAATATGATATAATTAAGACACGGTAGTCCAGAAATTTCAATTGCGATATGATGTCACTATGGCGTTATGAACATGTTTTCAGACAAAATGTACATAGTCATTATGAGATTTGAACATCTATGTACTTCCATTGCCTCAAATGCATATAAGAGTTCAAATGTCAGAAAATATTAAACATATGTAGTAACGTAACAACCTGAATAACATATCAATTCATGAATGTGCGCATAGCGCATTAGTGAATGATCAATTGTGTTTGTTCAAGAATTTAATATTTTACTACGATATTTAAAGTGTTTGGTTAATTATTTGTTTTATTAAATGTAAATAGAATTGAAAGTTCTAGGTACTTCATCTATTTTCTGAGTGTTACCTTTTTCATGCACTACTATATGACGTCAGAGAATTGAAATTACAATATTTTTTCACATGACAAATATGTGTTTTTGTGTCATTGCAACCATTTAAGTGAATGTATTTATATAATGTATCACGAACAGTTTCAAATTTGAGTATCATACTAAAATTAGGGCGTGTAGTGTTATTCGCTCTGAATTTGTCATTTCTATACCAAGATGGTTGTATATATATAATAATGATTTGAATACATGTCAATTTTTTTTATTGAAAAGGCGAGAACACTTCTTCAGAACATGACATTTTAATTAGACTCGAAACACCATTGTCTTGGAATAAAGAAAAAATAGAACAGAAGCTGAAAGAGAAACTTAAACAAGATAATTCCTGTTCGGAAGATGAGTTACATTTGATTAAGTTTAAATTCAAATGTTTGATATTAACAACTAGAGCATCGACGAAACTGATTAATGACAAACCTGCCTTAGTTGAAGCAATTGGGAAATTCCTAAAGGATATATTTGAGGACTGTGAAATAGACACCCGTGTACCAGAAACATTGTATATAACAATAGATATATACTGTCCAATTATATCAGGTAAGTTGAAGTAAACAAACGTTTGTCACTTTTAAAATGTTTTTTTTTTTTAAATATTCCTAATAATCAGATATAGGTCAAATAGATTGTAACTAGTGTGCTCATTGGACCAAATTAACATTTTGTAAAATTCTGAGTTTATTTTAAATCACAAATACATTGTAAACCATAAAAAAGATATATATTAATGTACTGAAAGTCATCTAATTTAATGTCCCTTAATCGTGAAAAATATGTTCATGTACAATGGGAAAACCAACGACGCGGGAATAATAGAAAAGTCACTTTTCTTATGATAATGTCGGCAAAAACCAACTGTCTGTGTTTTACCTGTAACCATCACTAGTAAACCAATTTTGATATGAACGGCTATTTCGATCTGAACAGCTCTTAAGGATGTACACCTCTGAGGAGCCAAACATTTCTTGAATTAAACTTTTTTTCATATCCTGGTTTTTGGGTTTATATGACCGAAAGAAAGCAATTGATTAAAGAAAAATTCATATGATGGTGCACTTCTTTTTTTGCTACGGCCATTTGAAAGTACCTTAATTTTAGTGATTTTTCCATTTTTCATCAATTTTTATTACAATTATCACAATTTAACTTATTTTCATACTTTCACTAAAGTTGAAGTGGAGCAATCTAAATAAATTCAACTTAAAAAAACTATAGGTTGGTGTTAATATTAGAAAGTTTTATGAAATTTTGTGGCTTTTTCGTGTCAAATTGATCATGCATGCTGTCAATTTTGTAAATTTGGGGGTTTTTTTTATATAGCAAAAAGCGTATTATTTCCACTTCTTTGTTAAAAATGATTGGAAAAATACATATCCAAGAATTTTGAAAAGAAAAAAATTGATATGGGATGTACATTTTTTTTTTGATAAAATCATTTCTTTGTACCCCTCACCCATTTCCTCAACATTTTGGCTGAAGACATTGACTGGATTGGTTATGAAATTTGAAAATTTTATTTCTCAAAAACTATTTATTGTAAGTACGTAATTTTTTCACAGAGTTTAGTTTGATAAAACACTTTTTAAATTCATTAATATTTTCGACTTGTATCACATGTTTTTGAAATAATTCCCGAACGAGATTTCAACGAGACTGAAACATAAGAAGAATACATGCTTAAAAGACCGAACAATGGATTATAAAGTCATTTTCTGTTTTCAGTCAATTTTCAGACTTATCCACTGCGGTAATTTCAGAACTGTTCAGACATTTCCCTTGCAGTCAACTAAGATCTGTTCAGTCAATATTCAGTAGCTGCTATTTACCTCTACACATCAACATCATACTGTATTTTGCAAACGAACTGTCTGAAAGTACTGAATTAAAATAATGAATCGAAGTTAAGTATGGACACTAATCATGTTCAAAATCGTAAAGATCATACCAACATCACATGTAAATATATAAATTTATTCAATATTAGAATTGAATAAAACTAGACGAAGTGCTAGCAAAAGCAAAGTTTTAATTTGGCAAACAATCTTTTAGTAGGAGGAGAAGCAGATATATTGTAAAGATAAATTGAAAAGTATGGATATGATAAAGCCAATGTCATTCCATTGTGAAATTAAGTGAATTTAAATAGGCGCAAAAGTATGTTGTATTGAGTATTTCTTTTGATAATAATCATTAACGGTTATTTTGTGTTCAGTTTTATAAAATATTGTCATAAGACGGGGGTAACTAAGTAAGCATGTAGATAATCTGCAGTGCAGATAAATAGTTCTTTGAATGAGCCGTTCATAAAGCTTTAAAGTGTTTCTAATATAGGATGAAACTATGAATGTTTTATAATATCATTTTCCCGTTCGCTATTTAAATTGACATTAAACCTTGAAATGTACTTTTAACTGTTGCCTCTAGAATTGTGCGGTATTGTATTTGGAAATAAAAGATTTTGAACGATGTCATCAAGTATGTTATATGTTTAAATTTGCTATATTTAATGACACACACTTGGATCTCATCATTTAATCAACCGCCATATTACAGATATTTATTACATTGATATGCATTGATATTCCAAGATTTTGCTGACAGGTTTAAGGACTAATGTATTTTGCTGCTGAATCTTTAAATGGATGTGGTTTGTTTTAAAAGAGGATTAAAAAAATCCGAAAACAAGAAACTTTTGATGTAAGGAAGACTTCATATATACTACTTATATTTCTTTATTTTGTTGTAATCCTGACATTATTGTGATAATGTGTGCGCCTCGGTTGACAACATTTCCTAATTGAACACACTAAGGTTTATGTAAGCTCATTTCAAAGGCTGCTAATCTGCATTGAAGATTTATCTGCAAGCTTCCCCGTTAAAGTTCATCGTATCAGGACAAAAATTAGAAACTATTCATATATGATATTCATATTGTGATGTTCTAAAAAAAAAATCTGAATGTTTGTAAAGAAATGTGTGTGGTTCTGTGGATTTTTTTTTATAAATTAGACACACTAAATCTTTTTTAATTTGAAGGCGTATCTGCAGTGGGAATTATCTACAAGCTTATTATAATTGAAATACAACCACTTACTACAATTTTATAAAGGAAAATACTGCATGATTATATAATGATAATTAATTTTGAAGAAAGTAAATAACATGAAACTGTTTGTCATACTTAGGTTAGGTTTTTTTTTATAAATTAGACACACTAAATCTTTTTTAATTTGAAGGCGTATCTGCAGTGGGAATTATCTACAAGCTTATTATAATTGAAATACAACCACTTACTACAATTTTATAAAGGAAAATACTGCATGATTATATAAATCTGCCTCATATCTTGACTTACATCTAGAAATTGACAATGAGGGTCGGTTGAAAACAAAACTTTACGACAAAAGAGATGATTTCAGCTTCCCAATTGTGAACTTTCCATTTCTATGTAGCAACATTCCAGCAGCGCCTGCATACGGAGTATATATCTCCCAATTGATACGATATTCCCGGGCTTGTTTTTCCTATCATGATTTCCTTGATAGAGGATTGCTGCTCACAAGGAAGCTATTAAACCAAGAGTTCCAAATGGTGAAGTTGAAGTCATCCCTTCGTAAATTTTACGGACGCTATCACGAGTTGGTTGACCGTTATGGAATAACCGTTTCACAGATGATATCGGATATGTTCCTTATGTCGTAACTACAATACCCTTCCCTTTTCACGAATGTGACTTACCGAATTAGACTATTTACCGGATTTGTAATAACATAAGCAACTCGACGGGTGCCACATGTGGAGCAGGATCTGCTTACCCTTCCGGAGCACCTGAGATCACCCCCAGTTTTTGGTGGGGTTCGTGTTGCTTAGTCTTTAGTTTTCTATGTTGTGTCATCTGTACTATTATTTGTCTGTTTGTCTTTTTATTTTTGGCCATGACGTTGTCAGTTTGTTTTCGATCTATGAGTGTGACTGTCCCTCTGGTATCTTTCGTCCCTCTTTTAGGGATGATAAGGTTGTGGACGTTAAATGAAAAATAAAATGCTTTATAATTAATCAAAACAAATTAATAAGAAAAATCTTGCATAAAATTTTTGCAGAAAAAAAAATCTTTTGTTTATAAAAAGTGCAATAAAATAATTGAATCAGTGATAATTACTTGTAGATATTCTTAAGTTAATTAATATCAAAATGTCCTATGCTAGGATTTAATCATTAAATGTATCAAATTTACATCTTACTTTAGGAGCTCGACATTGTCAATCTCATCGATATGGATATGCAGATTGTTTTTAAACTATTAATAATAGCAGCCTGTTAGAGGCTAACATAAGCCCTCGGTTTTAAGCTTAGTGTTAATGCTCTGTTTAATAAACATCAATTTATTTCGAATGCGTATTGATGAAAGACCTTTCTGGAGCATATGCTTTCATCCCTGGGTTTTGCTGGGTTCGTGTTTCTCAATCTTTAGTTTCCTGTGTAACTTTTTGTTATTTTTATTTGTGCTTTTCGTCGTTTTTATTTTTGACATGGTGTTGTCTGTATCGATTGGACTTATAATAATTTTTCTTTTTAAAACATAGATAAGTTGTTCTACAACTGTATTGTACCATGTCTTTTTCAAATATTTTGCGTTGTCAAATTTTTACATCCTAACAACCTGCCAGAATATAAAAAAACACAAAAGCAAGAAACACACCTACAGCCAAAACTTGACAAACAGTGTGATGTCATTTACTGTCATCAACATTATTTACTCATTTTCAATTATTCTATATCATTACATAAATTACACATTATTATGTTATGTTTTTTTTTTTTCAAACCAAATAATGATCAAGCAAAATATGTTTGAACAACTAACTAAATTACTTAAACATACTAAATCATTAACACAAGCACATTTCCCTTTTCTCCTGCAGAATAGTACCAAGCAATATATATATATAAGATAACAAAGAAGAAAAAAAAGAGAAATGAGTACTTTTCCTACAATGAACAACATAATATTTTAATAATACATAATTTATACATTTTCTCATCTATAATCTAAGAAAAGAAAGATAAGATATCAAGGTGATCACTTATTCCCTATTGATATTGGAGGACACAGTTTTTGCTATATAAGTGGCACTCGTAATGGTGCTTTGGACAGACAAATTCTTCTGACAAGTTACATCCTTGATGTCCCAACGTGAAAAGGGGAAAGGGAAGTCAGACAAATCGTCAGTGGTTATCTCTATTCAGAGGTCAGTGTTTTTTTTTCGGTTTTGCTGGCAATTTTTTGGAAGAGTCCGGTACATAAGTGAACATGAAAAATGTATGGAAGATGGAGTCTAGAGACTAATCTACTTGAATGCCTTTTAAAATAAAGGCGAACGATACCAAAGGGACATTCAAACTCTTAAGTCAAACTAAAATGACAACGCCATGGCTGATAAAAAGACAAACAGACAAATAACATTACACAAAACACAACATAGAGAACTAAAGACTGAGAACACGAACCCCTACAAAACCTGGGGGTGAACTCAGGTACTCCGGAAGGGTAAGCAGATCCTTTTTACCGTTAAAACAACATATGTTACCTCTCCTTTAGAAATATAAATGTGTCTTCTATGTGTATACATCATTCTGTTGAGGAATACATAATTCTGAAATACTACAAGTATCAAGAATGTACATCAAATCTATCAAGGATGCACTGAAGCTAAGATTAATTTTCAATTTTCAAGAAACCCGAACGAACGAATGTTGACACGTCGTTGGAAATCTAATCAACGTATCTAAAATATAACTGTTAATGTGATTTTAGATACGAAATGGGACCCTGCATCATTTCTATTAACTTAATTTAAAACTAAAAATAATAATTTATAGGTATTGTGCGTCTAAAGCTTTTTCTTGATTAAGCATCGTTAGGAACGCCCAAAGCCAAATTTTAGAAACCCAATGATTTATAAGTACCGAAGCACGTGAAGAGCTATATCACAAAAATGGACCTACAAATAATAGCCAAATCTATCAAAGTTCATATTGTTAATTGAGATTTTATTTTTTGATTAATGCGAATGTAGACAACAGATAGTATATGTATTGTCAACCTTCACTAACCTTACTATTGTTCAACTGTATGCATTTAGCAATAAAAACGGAAAAGAATGAAACAGATTCAGAAATTCTTTCTGCACATTCAACAAGGAAGCAAGAAGATTCAACAAAAGACGTGAACAAGTTACAAAAAGATGAAGCAGTTCTGAACGACATTGCAAATACACAACAAAAGATTAATTCAATGAATATTACCGACCCAAGAGAGAGTAAGTTAATTAATTAACCGATTAATGAAATATTAGTCTGAATCAAAGAAAGGCGTCAAAGAATGAAGAATAGCTGTTGACGAGATTGTGACATCACCGAATGAGACTTTTTATCGAAATTTACTAGCCATGAGCATCACAGGTGCCTCCAGTGGAACTGGAACTGTTGACTTTTCATGAGTTCATCGAATGTTTTGTAGTGATCCATGTTGTTCAAATCTTTAGTTTTCTGTGTAGTGTATTGTGGACTTTTTGTCGTTTTTATATTTGTCATGTTTCCTTTCCCCCTTTGTATTAGACTAGTGAATTTGTATTGCCCTTATCTTTCTTTTTTTCTATTTTCTACGAGATATTGAAGATATGGCCATCATCAATTTGCTGTCAAATCTTGATTGGCATTGCGCATTTCTTCTAATTTCATTTTTTTAATTTAATGTAGAGAATTGTCGAGTAATGCAAATCAAAACATGGACTTCAACAAGGTATCAACATCTCTCATCCACAGCCTATCTAAACAACTGGCTGCCATTACATTAGATATCAGAGAGTCGAATGGCTATGACGGGGAGGCACCCAATATCCGCATGCAAACCTTAACAACTGGCTTGAGTATTATGATATATTTTGAGAATGGTTCTAGTAAAATGCAAATCGGCACCTCCTATCTTTTTCTCTTTTTGATAACACTTCCAACTTTCTAACTGGTATTATCAGCAAATTATTTTTTGAGGTTTCTTGTCGGAAGTATAGACTGCCAAACAGACATTTGTCAATAACAATATTGTTGAAAACCGTTTGTTGACATTTTTGCTTTATTGTGCTTTTGGAGAATACCTTGAAAACATTTTGTCCAGATCTAAAATAACACGTTCCATTAATTCCAAAAAAACAGGATAAAAAAATCATTCCTGTGGTTTCAATTAAAATCTAAGATAAGTATTACAGGAAGTTTGAAAAATAAACAATTTAAACACAAACACACTCAGACCTTTGTCATTTGCCTTGGCTAATTCTCTTGTAGTGGCGATTGTAATTTTCATTTTAGAACCTTCTTTTTTTCTAATACCGGAATGATCATTTAATAAAATACAATGCATATGCCTATAGGTCACCAGCTTTACTTTTTAAAATAATTTCAGCTACCAAAGGAAAGAACAAATTACGGGGTACTATGAAAATGGCCACAGAATGATTATTATGTGACTTGTAAATATTGTTCTCAAACATTTTTATGTGAAAAATGCATGGCAAGAGGAACGAGAACTGCTTCATTAGAGGCTAAGCTAAACAAAATATTCAGCATTATTAAAGGTTAGTATTCATATATACAATTTATATCAATAATTTAGCAAACCGCACATTAGAAAATATAATTGTACCTATTTCAATGCGAATATAACTTGTCTTACTTTATATCTTATGTATATTATTCAGCTAGCACATCGATGTTTAATATATGCGGACAACAGTTTAAGTAATAAAGATACAAACTCTACAGATTGGTCATACACTTGGTTTAAATGGGAAAATTTGTACATATAATCGCAGATTTTTAATGTAATTATCAATAGGTATGTTTATACTTTAAAACGACCCAGCAAAAAAGAAATTTTCGATATTATTAGACAACATACAATCTGTAAACAAACCAGGGTATTCCAAAATGTAATTGAAACTTATTGCTACTAAATCTACTCATACAAAATTAATCGATCAAAATATTTTTTGACAAAAGTTGGAATCTCATGAGGACAAAGTGGAGTGAGACCAGATACACCTTCATGTTTGTGTCAGGAACAGATACATGATTTAATATTATAAGTTTTATGGTTTACTATTGACCCCGTACAGATCCATAGGGGGAGGGGGGGGGGGTGAAGCCGAATCCCCAAAAGAATTTTTCTAACCCTCATTGAATCCATAGAGAGTCGATTTTAAACCGTATACCAAATTAATCACACACCGAACTTTTCTTTCCAGGTTTTGTATAAAAATGAACAATGAAATTCAATACCATTTATAGTCATGATACCCCTATGAAATCTGCTGGAATTCTTTTCACAAAAGAATTGTTCGACAATAAATGATCCTAAATCATACCGATATTTTCATGACTAACGAGTAATTTTTCTCGTAAAATGTTATGTGAAGTACCCTCTATGCGTGCATAGGGGTCATCACGTGACAGCGTTACACCAATCACATTGTTCCTTATTTACCCGATGTTTTATAAGGGGATGATGTCAGATAAAGATTAATAATAAAGAACATAACAAGTTATATGGTTTGCTATTGATCCCTATGGATCCATAGAGGTTTAGTAAAAACCCTATGGATTTAACTAACCCTCTATGGATCCTTAGGAGGTCAGTAGCGAACACTATAACGAATTTATCGCACACAGGTATTTGCATGCCAAGTTTTGTATAAAAACAAACAATGAAATACAATAACATAACGTGAAGTCATGTTACACCTATGGAATCTAGTCATCCCCACGGATCCATACGTGATTATCAATAATTTACCCAGGTAACATGAAGGTTTTTTTTACAGAGTCAACATGTTACGGTCATCTCATTTCGTGGTTGAATCAAGACTGAGATGGCCGGGTTGCACTGAATGTCCTTAAATAATGGAGAATAGTATATACTGAATATTGAGTAATTAGGAATATAAAATGTAACAAAAGGAAAACAAATCTTTAAACAGCTCAATAATGGAAACTTCTTTTTAGACACTCTCAGCAATGCAGTAACCAGAGCATATTTGAATGTATACTCATCTCAGCAAAAGATTGATGAAACAATTTTACGGTCTGGTTACATATCTTTAGCAGATCTACAGAAATACGAAAATATGGTACGTCCTTCTCAATAATAATAATTATAATGATGGTGATAATAATGATAAAAATGATGTTTCAAATCAAAAAAAGATATGACATTCATGAAAATCTATAATAGTAAAACTGCACATGGAATTCATAAAACTGAAAAGCTTCAATTGCCAAGGTTGATGACATGCCATAGAAACCAGACGAATACTACGACCCTTTAACTCCGTGGTTTATGAACTATTCGTGTAAAGGATGATGTTCTCACCCTCTCTGTTCGTGTAGCTCGACATCCAAAACTTTGGTATATGTATATATATTTGGTGCAGTTAGTTTCAGGATAACGTGGTTGAAAAAATGAAAACGTATTTTAGTGTGTTCTTATGTTGTGCGGTTACACCACTTTCCCAGGTAAGAGGAGGGTTGAGCGCTTACAAACATTTCTCAACCCGCCTAATTTTATTTGTGCCTGTCCCAAGTCAGGAGACTGTAATTCAATGGATGTCGTTGATGTATGTTTGTCATATATCTTTTTGATAAATGGTATTGTGAAATTGGGACGTTAGTTTTCTCGTTTTAACTGTTTCACATTTTTTCATGACCGGGCATTTTTTAGCTGACCTCACGGTATGGATTTTTATCATTGCTGAAGACCATACAATGACCATAATTACTTTTATCTGCATCATTTTAACTTGGGTAGATTTTTGTCTCCTCGGCAATTATATCACATCTAATTTTTATAATATAATAAGTTTTACGGGTTTCAGTAAAAGTGCTTACGTTTTCTACATTTTGAATTATTCGTTAGATTGAACATGCAGCAACAACTTTCTGTTTTTAAATACAATTTGCATCAAACATTATTATCTAGCATGAAAGGAAATATTTTTTTTTAATCAGGATTGGGTAATTAAATTCTGCATTAGTCTTGTTGGTCCGTCAATCACACAACAGAAATAAAAAAAAAACACACTACACAAGATCTGTATGAAAGAATGATTGAATAATTTCTATTGCTACAAGTATTATCACTTCGACAATGTTATTATTTGAGAGAAATGGTTTGCTATAACTGTTACACTGGTTATATATGTCAGTGGTTAAAACACAATTTTTAAATGATCTTTATCAACTCTCTCGTTGCCTTTTTGAAACGTAGGCACTAGTATATGGTTCCAAGTAGAAAGAATTAAGAAATAACTGTATTATATTTGAAGCTTTGCGTCGGTAGTTTTACTGTCTCAAATTTAGTTTACCTGGCGATGCGCAGCGGAGACAGGTAAACGGATATTTGCGATTCTAAAACTATCGATGGACGTCAGCAAAGTTTCAAATGCTATACAGACATCCCTATTCTAATGCAAATAAACATGTCATTCAATTTAAGTCATTATTTCGGAGTGAAATTTTTATTAAACGAAAATGCCGCGAAATGATGTTATCTTCTTTGGCATCTAAAGTAGGTGACGTCATAGGTATGCTACGGGTGTCAAACGTAAACACATGGCGTTTTTCTGGGTTCGTGTTTGCCTCAGAATGTAATAAAATTTGATAAAAAGAAAGGTTTTAGTAGAAAAATGTGAGTGTGTTTGCTAATTTTTGGAGAAAATACACGTCAATACATTCCAGAATTCCCAATGTCGGTATCCCTTAGTTTCAGATAGGTATATAGAGAATTGTAGGTTGATTGTCTAAATCAGAACTATTGATACAACATAGTTGCATTACAAATGATATAAAAATAAAATATGAGTATACGAGCTTGATTATGTTTATAGTTTTTTAGCTCACCTGGCCCGAAGGGCCAAGTGAGCTTTTCTCATCACTTGGCGTCCGTCGTCCGTCGTCCGGCGTCGTCCAGCGTCGTCCGTTGTCGTCCGTCGTCGTCCGTCGTCGGCGTTAACTTTTTACATTTTGAACTTCTTCTAGAGAACCACTGAATGGAATGAAACCAAACATGGCATGAATGTTTCTTATGAGGTGCTGACCAAGTGTTGTTACTTTGTAGTCGATCCATCATCCAAGATGGCCGCCAGCGGGGCACTTAGTTTAACATACGACCCTATGGGAAATGCATACAAATGACTTTTTTAGAGAACCACTGAATGGAATGAAACCAAACATGGCATGAATATTCCTTATGAGGTACTGACCAAGTGTTGTTACTTTGAAGCCGATCCATCATCCAAGATGGCCGCCAGCAGGGGACATAGTTTAACATAGGACCCTATGGGAAATACATACAAATGTCTTCTTTTAGAGAACCACTGAATGGAATGAAACCAAACATGGCATGAATGTTCCTTATGAGATGCTGACCAAGTGTTGTCACTTTGAAGCTGATCCATAATCCAAGATGGCCGCCAGAGGGGGACTTAGTTTAACATAGGACCCTAAGGGAAATACATACAAATGTCTTCTTTTAGAGAACCACTGAATGGAATGAAACCAAACATGGCATAAATTTATCTTATGAGGTGCTGACCAAGTGTTGCTACTTTGAAGCCGATATATCATCCAAGATGGCCGCCAGCGGGGGACTTAGTTTAACATAGGACCCTATGGGAAATACATACAAATGTCTTCTTTTAGAGAAACACTGAATGGAATGAAACCAAACATGGCATGAATGTTCCTTATGAGGTGCTGACCAAGTGTTGTTACTTTGAAGCCGATCCATAAACCAAGATGGCCGCCAGCGGGGGACTTAGTTTAACATAGGACCCTATGGGAAATACATACGAATGTGTTCTTTTAGAGAACCACTAAATGGAATGAAACCAAACATGGCATGAATGTTCTTTATGAAGTGCTGACTAAGTGTTGTTACTTTGAAGCCGATCCATCATCCAAGATGCTCATCAGCTGGGAACAGTGTTTAACAAAGGACCCTATGGACAATACATACAAATGTCTTCTTTTAGAGAACCACTGAATGGATTGAAACCAAACATGGCATGAATGTTCCTTATGAGGTGCTGACTAAGTGTTGTTACTTTGAAGCTGATCCTTCATCCACGATGGCCGCCAGCAGGGGACTTCCTTTAACATGAGACCCTATGGGAAATATATATAAAAGCTTCTTCTAGAGGTGCAATGAATGGAATGAAACCAAACATGGCATAAATGTTTCTTATGAGGTGCTGATGAAGTGTTGCTACTTTGTTGCTGATTTACTTTTCAAGATGGCCACCAGGATTTTTTTTTTAAATTACAGGGCCAATATTAAATCAAATTTGGCCTCACTCATTATTAGGGTAGTTGTTATGATTTTAATCTATTTTAACATGATTTCCAAAACCAAAGTAGAATCAGGTGAGCGACACAGGCTCTTGAGAGCCTCTAGTTATTGTTTTAACAGGTTGTGTATATATAGGACGGCATAGCATGAAATTTTTTTTTCAATTTCAGAGGCGGGAAGAACAATGGATGCATGTAATAAACAATTTAACTGATGCCATTATACAGGTCGTTGAATTTGCAAAGCAGATTCCAGAGTTTGGTGGCTTCAGTGACTCTGATAAAATTATCCTACTTAAAAACGGTAATTATTAAAAATATATAATATTCTCTTTACAGTTTGATATGTGTTAGCTTGATTCAATAGAATACAACAATAGTTTACTTATGTTGAAATTGTATTTTAAATGTACAAATTATAAGATAAAAAAAAACCCTGAAGAAATCAGACCGACGCCGTGTGCGACCACAGGGCATTGTTTCATGTTATGAATGAATAATTCGCCATGCCAACAAAATGCGATGCAGTCAATAAATAAGTAAAACCTTATGCTGGTATATGCAGAATAATGGCTGCATAACATATCTTAAAATGGCACTTGAAGTAATTTAATATCAGCAGGAATATGAACAGGTGGATTAGTGCCTACCTAAGTACAGAACTATAGTAATGGGTTGCATTTGAGAAAACCAGTTTGAACCGACGCATTCCTACTGATCTTAACAATGATCAGTCTTCTGTTCATATTCTTGCATTTCAACTGCAGTCAAAGAGTTTCTTTATGAGTATTTGCTATTGCTTAATGTTTTACTTTTTAGGGACACGTTCAAGTTTCCAAAAGACATTTAGAATAACATAGGCATACATTAGAGGTGTCTAAACACATCTGAATTGACTTCGAGCGAACTTTCACAATGCTACTTTATCTACCACAAGGAATATAAGAGAAACATACTCGACGTTGGGATAGTCAGTTATCATAAATAGAATAACGGTTATATGATGAGAATCTCACAAGTTTTATCTTCTCTCAAAAATACACATATTAATAATTTATGGTTACCTTCAGCTGCTAAAGTCTACATCATTTGGTCTCCGGTGGAAAGTTGATTCATTGGCAATCATTCAAGGTCTTCTGATTTTTATATTCATCATTAATTGACGAAGTCAACAATATTCTTTGAAGTCATGTTTATCATACCGAGAAGTAACCGGCAAAACAACACACAATATAATACCTTAAGTTCTTTTTTATATGCTCATACGACGTGACAAATTTTATAATGATGCTAAAGGAAAAAAAATGTTATGTTGGATAAGAAGTCGCATTGATATGTTTGATGACAAATAATGAAAAATATGTGCAAGTATGGTCTCTACGAATAAGTGGAAATAAAAATTCAAATGCTAAATCTTCAATCAGGAAAAGATAATTCGAGGAAATACATTATGAATGCAAATACATGTCGATTCTGGTTGATTTTTTCAACGAAATGAGGGTGTGAAAACGAAAGACTTATATGTGAAAAATGAATTACCCAATGCGTGTGCAAAGAATAATACGCAAAAATTAAGAAATTCCAATTCTTTACAAATCACTTACTAATAGAGCATGTGGGATAAAACGTTATAAATCTTGGATCTGACGACTTTTTACAACCACTAGGTTGGTTCTACAGCTGACGGAATATGTTTTTGTCCCTTAGAGTTTCAACCTCCAAGAAACATCTCTTTGCTAGCAGGAAATATCATTAAGGCGTCAATTTTCTGTAAATAAGTGTTCACACAATGCAAAAAAATGGTGCAAAAAATGGTAAAATTTTAGTTCTATCTAGCAACCATTGTTCATATGTATAAAAATCTTTCGCACTCTAACTTGAAACCACCTTGTTGTTCGGGGATGAGGCTTTGCATGATTATTCACCACTACTAGAAAATGTGTCCCGAATACAGAGGAAATCCTACATTGAAAATCTTGCCCAAGAGCTTAGTTCAACTTAGCAACCCAGGTGAAATTTCACAAAATCCCAAATTTCAAACCATTGGGGGTCGGGATGAATTAAAGCATGGTTATAAGGTGTGTCGTGATCCTGATAGACAACCGTGCGTTCATGATTGTGGTCAAAATTTAGGTTAAACAAAACACCCCTGTCCATATCCATTTAGTTACAGTGTGCTTTTAACCTAATATGATAAACACGGGGTCAGTAAATTCCGTATGGTGCGGGAACAAGCGAAGCTCAAGCCCCATATGGAATTTATTGACCCCATATATATCTGTTTAGGTCATTAGCACATTGCGTAACAAATGTATCATACCGACTATCTTGATATAGGGAATTTAGATGTAGTTGTAAACCTTGATATCACAATTTTGCACAATATTTTACAAAACTATCAATTATTTACCGTGAGAAAGTCGGCGTCTCTCCGAAAAGATTTTGTCTAAAAGCATGAACAAATTTAATCATGTATGTTTACAATTTGTGCTAATTTGAGAACAGCAACATTTTTACAGGAACGTAACTCTACTACTAACTGTGTATTTAAAATAAACCTAGCCCACTGGCAGTGTATTTAAAATTAAACACACCCACTGACCAAATATTAAATATACACGGTTCCCACGTGTTCGCTTTTAACCAATGATATTCCTAGAAGTGGATAGGAGATTCGATAAATTGCTATACATAGAATAACCCTAATGCTAACACAATTTACTTATTTACATGCTGCGTGATCCTCTGCGATGACTCCCAAAACTATCCTCCCTAATTTTTGTAAGTGCTTAGTTTGCAATTTAAAATAGTTTCAAACTTTAAAATGAACTTTTCGACAAATTATTTACATTAGCAAGCGCATTAGAATGTGGAAAATTTATGACGACTGAAGTTAACCATTCTACCCAATCTGTGTATTTTCAGACAATAGAGAAAAAGTTTTGAAAGTCCTATAGCCTTTTAAAAGTTGCTTCCTATGCGACGAGACATTAAAAAAACATACTCTGTAATTGCTTTAAATATCTGATGTTTGAGTGTGATTCGACATTTTAGTATCAATCTAAGAGTGGTATAAAACTATCGTTACCTCATTGAAGTTCTTAATTTGCAACGTGCATTTCAACTGGTGTGCTGGCTTAATGGTTAATGTCTTGTGAATAATACATGTAGATTTTTACTCTTTGAAACGACATCGTTTAGTTCAGACTTTTGTAGCGCTCGAATGAGTTATTCATATGTTGCTTTTTTATTATCATCATGATGTACATAACAATGCTTCCATTGCTTTTCAGGAGTTTTTGAAGCTTTACTGATTCTCTGTTCGAAGGTATATGACAACACACACAATAATGTAGTTTTTGGTGGTTCATTGATGTCTCTACGTGCATTCAAATCTATCAGTAAGTCTTAAAACTATATGTACAAATTGTATCTAGATAATTCATATTTTTAATTTTTTATATGAAATATGTAAACATCTTCAAATAATTTTTTTCTACAAAAAACATGTCATCAGTGCAAAAAGAACATACATCACACCTTGATTGTTTGTGGTATACATCTAAAATTGACGCATAACTTCTAGTAATATTAAACATTTATCCGATTTTGTTGGGTTAAAAAGTAGAGTTGATAAAAATTGGTACTGTCATTTGAAAATTTAAATGGTTTGCAAATGACCCTATTTCACCATATACACAAAATATGAACCAATCTTTTCAAACCGTCAGCCCGCCCGACGTCATCTTACTATAAGCTGGATTTACACTTTCAGCATCCTCGTCAGTAATTTTCAAAAATCTATCAATTTCAGTTTGTGGCTTGCCTTGCAGCATTGATTTGTTCTCAACTTCTCAATACGTCACAACGGTGTTATAATTCGAACTTAACATGTATCACAAGTTTTAGAAAATAAAAACAAATTGAATTTAGACTCGCTTTTAAAACATCAAAGAAATGTAGGTTTGAGATTTGGTACGGTAGACGCGTGTTTACGGGAAACGTAGATACAAATTCCTTTGTTGAGGTCATGTCATAAAAAAACTGATAGTTGTGAAGAACCACACTGCTTCCTACAACAAATATACTGAAGATGATACCATTAAAATGCTGGACGTATTTGTTGAGTTTGGTGGCTTGATATTTAAGCAGACAGTCAGTATTCAAATTGGAACTAATTGTGCACCAATAGTGGTCGTCTAGTTTTTTATACTCTTATGAAACAGATTTCGTACAGAACTATCTCAAAGACAAATATAATCTTTAATTTCACTTTCGGATATATTGATGCTGTTCTGTCACTCAATCGCACACATTTAAATGAGTGCTTACATCTCATATATCCTAGGGAACTTGAGATTAAGGATACTACCAAAAGTAGAAGGTCTGCTTTTAGTACTTACCTTGCCTTGATATTGACACAGATGACTGACTTCAAACTAGAACCTATGACATAGATGACTTCACCTTTGCAATTGTCAAACTCTTCATTTCTCTGCAGTAACATGCTAATTGCATAATCGTATGGTTTCTACATATCTCTGTTAACGCGTTGTGTTCTTACATGTTCACACTATTCGGACTTCATTAACAAAGGTGTGCTCCTTACACACAAAATGGTCCCACAGAGGTTTGTGGTGTCTCAAATCACCTTTTTACGCAGTCTTAGATCTTAAGATACCAGTACAGTCGTCTGGTCTGTAATTTTAACGATTGTGACATTTTGACTGAGTGGGAATTCGCATGACGGGTGATACTTGCTCGGCAGGAGTCGCTTCTCCTATCGCACACCTGGTCTCGTTCCTTTTAGAATTGTTTGTTACTTTATATTTTCTCGTATTAGCGGATTTACAATTTACAGAGATTTGGTTAACTACTGTCGCCTTTAAATGTGTGCTTAAATCATTTTCCCTCAGCACCGTGTTAAACATACAATACGTTATGGCTTTTTTTCCCTTCCAGACAGAGAAGAACAGGATTTTTTAAAAGAAGTTTTTGAATTAGTTCAAAGGTTGAAATGTCAATGTCTGAATGACACAGAAATGGCATTATTGTTAGCGCTCATATTAACACAGCCAGGTAAGATTTTGCACCAATGTGTTTATATTTCTCCATAACATTTCAAATCAATTTGTTTTATATGGATTGTATGCTGTAGATTGAAAACAAAAACCCGCTTTATATCAAAGGCCAGTTATTTTTACACATTTGGAAAGTTTTGTCCGGAACCAAAAAACAACGTCTTAAGTCATAACAAACCATGTGTGTAGCCTAAATGTGTTAGCATGTAGACAAAAGATGTTGGAGAATCCCTCTTTTCTTTTCAACAACACTTAATAAATATGAAAATCTTTTTTTTGTGTGTTAATATACTCTTAATGCATAATGACGTCTTCTAGGACGAGAAGTAATTGATAAATTGAAAGTATACAGGTAAATGTCTAGCAGAAAGGAATAAACGACACAAAAAATACCTCTTGAGGTAAACATATCGCGTCAACTTTCGGCAAATGCCTTTACAATATTTCATGCTTCATACCGTACCCATTCTCAACGCAAGAAATGAATAAAACACACGGAAATTTTCAATAATCTGCCATTTGCACCAAATTACATGAAGGATTTTACATGTAAAACACAACTAAAGACAAACATTTTAAAGGTTCTAAACTTAGGACAGGCAAATATTCGCCAAAAAGTTAACTTAGTTTTTTTTTCATCATCCATTATTATCACCATGTTTTTAATCTCGATCAGTGAAATAACAAACAATACATAAAAGATCACTTCAGGTAAATTACTTATATAAAAATAAGGAGATATAATACGATCACAAATTGTACAAACTTTCCAGAAAGATCGTAGGAAGAAGATGTGAACAATTAAAGATCACAATGTCGACAAAGCCCAATATAGTGTAATAAGACTATGTCCAATATTGCAAAAGGTGAAACAATTTATAAGGGAAAATCAACAGTCAAACTTATACCACCAAAATGAACGAAATACAAATAAGATACACAGCAACCTACGACAACCACTGAATTATATGTTCCTAGTTTGGGAACAGCGGAGTTTAACATGCTTTTGAGCGCTCAATACCTCCAATAACTCATGACAGTAACAACTCATTATTGGAATGAACTGTAAAAATCGGTTGGAAAATGCTTGATCGACAGTAAGCACAACACAAATAAATTAACAAAGAGAAACAAAAGAAACACTTTAATTATAATTAATCCAAACATACATTTCTATTTCTCCAAGCAAATAAAGATACATCTGTTTGTTTTAGATTTGCATGGTCTTATGGATGCTGAAGGAGTAAAGAAACTACACGCCGCATTACGGAATTCTCTTAAATTTGAAATCTGCAAATCACATTCAAACAAACGTGGAAGCATGGATATACTGTTTGACATACCAAAAGAACTTCGGAGATTAAATACTAAACATGCAACGCTTCTGTATAAGTTTTCTCTATCAGTCCCAAATATTCAATTTCCTGCTGCTTATAAGGAGGTATTTAGTACAGCAAAATTGACATGATGTAAGATGATTGAATTGAGACAAAATGTAACTATTATGATTACACGGTTGATAGTGCGGTAAATACAAACAGACCACGCTGTAAAGATAATAAGAAAATACATTCAATCAAAAGAAGAACTGGAATTTTTAATAGACAATATGAATTCGAAAAATTTGAACAGAGCGTAATTGGTGGTTATTGTATTGACATTAACAAACTATACAATATTAAACAGCGCAAACTGTATAAATTGGCACACTTCCAAAGAACATCGAATGTTAAAAGAAAGTACAGAAAACTGCTAGGTCAAGAATTCTTGAGGTGACGGAAATTGTTTCTTTAGATGCTGCTTTTTATCTAACTATGTAATCGACAATAAAGATTCTAATCCCATTAATCGAGGAATCGAAAATATGATGAAAGCTTTGACATTTTATAGAGGACCAGCACGCAAATATTTTTTTTATTTACTTTACAAAATGTTTCTCATGATCATGCACTTGCTTGCAAACACGAGCTATTTAGGATTTTGCTTCACCAAACAAATAAAATTATAAAATTTATCGTTTATGTTATTGCTTACTTTAAACAATGTTTAAAAACATCTTTTATCTTTTTTTACTAAATATTATTTTAATCTATTGGGGAGTATAATCAAGATTATCATGCTTTTAGCATGAACAATTTTACCAAGAATACCTACATTCGACCCGAGAGTATGGCAAGCCGTTATCGTCAAAACTATGTTTAAACCCTATTTCGAAAAAATTACACACTGAAAACTAAAAAAACCACACTGAGATTTTACCCTAAAATAACACACTGAGAAATCGTAATAACATAGTACTCAGATTTTAAAATTACGCACTGAGATTTAAAAAAAATGAAAAATACACACTGAGAATTTAAAATTACACATTGAGATTTTAAAAAGACACACTGAGATGAAATAAAATTGAAAAACACACACTGAGAATTGTTAGTTACACACTGAGATTAATATGCACATTGCTAATGAATATTCATGAGATGAATAATTCAACAGATTAATTTCTTGGTCTCCCGAACTCTCGTCATTATAATGAAATGCGGTTCCTTCAACCAACATTCGTAATAAATTTCAAGCCTTAACCTTGTTTTTAGCTAACTCATATCCATAGGTTTGTTGCCTATAATTTAGATTATTACTAACAGTTTAAGCAAGGGTCCCTTTTCAAAAGTCTTTCAACTGTTACCCTGATTTCGCAAGGTAATCTTTTTATTACGTTTCTATGTTATAATAGGCACTTGGGTAAAAATTTAACTGCATTGTTTGTCTTTTTGCAGATTGTTCCAATGTTTTCGTGTAATTTTGATAAAGATTTTCACCATTTGGTTATATTTTGTAATGAGAGTAAGTGGGTATTTTTCTTGTTCTATTGGTCTTTAATAACGTAGTTTTTCTATACGTTGTATTTCTAATGTTTTTAGAAAACATTTGCCGCCAAATTGAAGGACTAACGAGTTGTGTCCCCTAGTTGTTTTAAGCTTGTTATAGATTCAGATTAAGTATGCTAATTAGATATGAGCGCATAAAAGTGCGCACAAATCTCAGTGTGTAATTTCAAATTCTCAGTGTGTGTTTTTCAGTTTATTTCATCTCACGGTGTGTCGTTTAGAAATCTCAGTGTGTAATTTTCTATTCCCAGTGAGTGTTTTTCATTTTTTGTAATCTCAGTGCGTCTTTATGAGATCTCAGTGTGTAGTTTTTAATTATCAGTGTGTTTTTTTTTAGGTTCTTTACTCTCAGTGTGTTTTTTTTTTTAATTCTCAGTGTGTAAATTTTTCAAAAAATGGTTAAAAATAGTTTTGACGAGAACGGCTTGCCATACAAAAGTCCGCTTACGGGATTGAGAATATTGTGTCAGGATCCAAGCTCGTAGTTTTTAATGGGTTTCGTTGAAGAAATAAACTACAGGGCAGTTTGTAACTAAGCTTTTATTTGATTGCTGTAGAATATGAAAATTAAGGAGATGTTTGAATACACCCAAAATCACAAATAACCAAAAGACATATGCCTGTCGTCATATTTCTATAACCCACTAAAAACGAAAAAAGGTTCACGTTTCTTAGTGTTTGTAAAAAAACAATGAAGCTTTTGTTTCAATTCTACTTCTACGGAAGTCAGATAAAGTACATGTAAGGGTTTAGTTTTATTTTAAGTCTGTATAACGAGTGAGCTAAGTCGTGATAGCAAGTTAATGTAGCTAAGTCGTTATAACGAGTGACTAAGTCGTGACAACGACTTAAAATAAAACTATACACTCCGACACTAACAGGCTTCGGTACCATTCAACCGTCCTGTTGGTTTTTTTTCTTTCTTTAACTTCACTGAAATAAATATGAATGCATGAAAAGATCATGTTTAATTGTACAATGTTCTGTTGTCTAAATGTACTTTTGGGTTAAATTATCGTTTTTTGTCACTGATTTGATATTTAAAAAAATAGTATTAATGAAGATACGGAACTCTATACAGTGACGAAAATCGAATTAACGATTGATTTGATTTGATTTGATTTTTGGTGTTTTAACGCCACTTTTAAGCACCGCTTTTGGGCTATTTCGTGGCGGCCAGTTTTTATTGGTGGAGGAAGCCGGAGTGCCCGGAGAAAACCACCGACCTTCGATAGGAAAACTGACAATCCTAGTCAATTAAGATTGCAGTCGAGTGCACCCGCACGAGCGGGGTTCGAACTCACAACCTCAGTGTTGACTGGCTAGTGATTACAGTAGTAACTACTTAGACCACTCGGCCACCGAGGCCCCTAATTAACGATTGAAGGCAGTAAAGTAATAGAATATTGATATATTGATATATATATGAACAAATTCGATGGGTATTTAACGCTATAGTATACCCAATAGTAGTGTCAAACATGTATCAGATGGTATCGAAATACCAAGTATAATATGATATTATCAAACCAATTTCAATGGCATAAAAATAAGCGTGTCAAACTTACATGTATGTAACAAAATTTTACCGAATATCTATCATAGCCAGAAATTAGTAGTACTTTTGCTAATAAATATTCATAATATGTAAATGAGAATTGTACCACGTGATAATAGTTTGAACTTGACTGGCTTGGTATCATTAAAATCTTTAAAACACGGATATTATAAGTTGCCCGTCACAGAGTCCTTGTTTATAATCACTCTGATATTTCTGTAAAGTTGTCAGGCGGTCAAAATCAAAACAATGAACGCGAATTTAGTGAATTTTTCGTGTTTTCGTGAGTTTATTCTTCTTGAAATTGGGGCATTTTAACTTTACGTGGGAACCTAGAGTTCAACGACTACACATACAAGGTTTGGACTTGCTTATTCTTTGGACATTCAAGTTTCAAGTTTCATCCCCGCAACCTGTTTTTGTAATGACCTTGTTAGCCAATTTTCAACACGAACTTTGCAAATTTGACGTTTCAGCCATTTTATAGATATAAGAAGATGCGGTTTGAGTGTCAATGAGACAACTCTCCATCCAAGTCACAATTTAAAAAAGTCGACCATTATAGGTCAAAGTACGGTCTTCAACACGTAGCCTTGGCTCACACCGAACAGTAAGCTATAAAGGGCCCCAAAAATTACTAATGTAAAACCATTCAAACGGGAAAACCACCGGTCTAATCTATATAAAAAAAGAGAAACGAGAAACACTTATGAACCACATCAACAAACGACAACTACTGAACATCAGATTCCTGACTTAGGATAGGTGCAAACAAATGCAGCGGGTTTAAACGTTTTAATGGTACCAAACTTTTAGCCTGTATTTTATACTGCAATGTTAAAAGCCTCTCGCTTCGATTTTTAAAATAGCTCAAGAACCTTGATTTTTGCAACGACAGTCATTATGTTTCGTTTAAATGGTGTATATTGTTGTGTATAAAATTGAGAGTGCAAATGGGGAATGTGTCAAAGAGACAACAACCCGACCATAGAGCAGACAACAGCTGAAGGCCACCAATGGGTCTTCAATGCAGCGGGAAACTCCCGCCCCCGGAGGCGTCCTTCAGCTGGCCACTAAACAAATAAGTATACTAGTTCAGTGATAATGGACGTCATACTAAACTCCAAATTATACACAGGAAACTAAAATTAAAAATGATACAAGACTAACAAAGGCCAGAGGCTCCTGACTTGGGACAGGCGCAAAAATGCTGCAGGGTTAAACATGTTTTTTGAGATCTCAACCCTCCCCTATACCTCTAGCCAATGTAGAAAAAACAAACGCACAACAGTACGCACAGTAAAACTCAGTATAAGAGAAGTCCGAGTCCGATGTCAGAATAGGAAACAAAACAAAATAAACAAAATGACATATTCATTTTCTGTCCCCGCGCAACCTGTCTATCACTTAAATTAAAGTTAAAACAGACATTTTTGTCAAAATTCCCTATCATTTCAATATAATTTCCGTGACCCGTATCCGATTTCTTTAGTATAATATTCAAATAGGCAAAGTGGCGTTGATTTCTGGATATGATACTACTAAAATAACGAGGTCCACGAGGTCCAATTTGTTAGCCGGCATGACGCAAAAACGACGAATCAAAGAATTCAACTTTATATATAACTAATATAGGACAATGGTGTTGATTAAAAATTACACCATTACAGGCCCTTTTGTTTTCCACATAATTAATATTACCAATAAATAACAAGTTCCGGATCGAATCAGATACCGATACCAATAGTAAATGTCACATGTAGTTTCCGGTTGTAGTTTTTCTTTTATTCTTCCCTCCACTATCTGGAATACCACTACTATATTATAGTAAGAAAACCATGACGGGTTCAAACAAAAAGATTATTAAAGCAGAGAAAACGGTAAACCTCATAATCAGCATGACTTTATCAAATGACATGACGAATACTGAAAATCAAGGATAAAAATAAGGCGTAGGGACTTTATTCAGTCACGGACCCGTGATGTCGCGGGTGTGTTCTAGTGCTACATGTGTACCTATGATCACAGTAGTAAGAGATAGACTTGTATACTGTAGATATTTTTTATGTTTTCTTGTTACATTGTAACATACGTATGCACAAATCAAGGAGAGGTACCGTAGCCAGACAGTAGTATATAAAAGTAACTCTTTGTGTTTGCGTCCGATTAGGCTTTATTTATTTACCTTCACCAGGAACCCTAAAAACCATTAACAATCAAAGGTAAGGATGCATAAGTACTTGAGGAGCTTAAAAAAAGGGCCATAAAAGAATAGCCAAAATCATCTAACGTCAACTTTTCTTGAGGAAGTAAGAACCTTAATTTCTTGATAACTAATCAACCTATCAACGGAATATTTAACAAACGTACGTTAAAAATAATGTCAGTGGCGAAGCACTGATTACTGGATATGTTTTCCCTCTGAGACTTACAGGGTCCTTCAATTCTATATTCAGTTTATATTTTCAAAGTCATTTTTCTCTATTTTTTTTATAAATTTTCTTTATATTATAGCTCCCCATTATTCTCTATTCTTTATTTTTTGGTCCATTTTTCTGCAGTATAGCC